CTATTCTTGTTGTAGCCCGAGGAAGAGGATTACTGAGCCAGAAGAACATACACGTAGTTATTAGAAATCACATTTTGCCAAGCACAATGATCTTCTGCACGCCCCCAAACGGGTAGTCGAGATCACGCGACTGAGCCCGATCGGGCATTCTTTGCCCCTGTCCGAATTTTCCAACCAACTCCTGTGCTTGTGAACAGTGCTAGGAGAGGTGACAAGTGACTGGATATGTAGCGGTTGCCCAATCTGATTAGTGTATCCGCATCCACTGTCTCCCTCGTGCTTTGTTTTGATCCACATCCCACAACGTGCATCACGAGACAAGACGTGACTTGTCTGCAACCTGGACTGATGACACCAGCTATATGATCCCTCTCTAGAGGAGGGAGTATATTTTAACCGGCGTACGTGAAAGGCGTTTCCAACTGCGGGTAATCAATACTTTGCATTTTGGTAAAGAAAAATTTGGCACAAATATCCTTCAGGATGTCATCTACCTCAAAAAGGAAATAGGAAAGCCCTGTCGGAAACAGCAAGAAGTAAAATAAACGAAGCATTTCATACACACATATGTCCCGATTGTAGAGATTGCAGAAAATCCACACATGTTATCAGAGTTCCTTTCACCAGTAAGCACCGTCTCAAGATACTTTCAGAAGCGAGAATGACCAAAACAGCTAGTCTGCTGGTGCATGCAAGGCATTGTATCACGGTCAATGAGATCCACGTTCCGCCACCCGAACGGACACCTACTCGCCCTCCTGTTGTGTCTCTTCACCTGCCCTGACGCTACTGGGTTATAGTCAGAAGACAAGAAGACGACCTGAAGGAACTGTGTATTAACGCAATTACAAACTTCTATATATATGATTCACTTGTCACCGTATTTGACGGTCGATCCGCTGTCAACCAACCAGTGTGTCTCCCACACACCCACACCGGTCCTCGGGCGGTTGTCCCTTTGTCTCGATTGATCGTACATGGCCGTCTGTGCGCTTGTGTACGGGATGCCTTGGCCATGGAGTGGGTGTGAACATTCTGTGTCCTTATTTGACCTTTCTCCGGCACATGATGAACTCGGACGTGATTCCGACGTGGGGGCATAATCGCACGGCTCTGTTCCACATGATTGTTCCGCTGCGCAGTAGGCTGATGCGCAGCCGTATTAGTTTCCATGGCTAAGGCTTTTTTGCCACGGACGCAGTCAATGCAGAATGAAGGACTAAGCAATTCGGAAATAACGCCGATAGTGTTTTACCGTCATGCATATAACAGTCCAAGTGCTGTCCCTTTGTGTGAACACAGACGATAATTGCGACATATAGCGATTATCCGAAATCTACGTGGCTTCCAGCACTACTGTGAGATGTATTGTCCGTATTGTCTTTGATGAATACGAGTGAAGTTTCGTTTGGACCTGGCGGTTCTAATTACCTGAAGTACTTCGTGAATATACAGAGACCTAGGGTCGATCGAACCATTACCAGAAGGTTCCCGCCCAGCATTTCGAAAACTTCAATTATAAATTGACCTGCTTTATCCAGTAAGGTCTGGTATACAGAAATTGGTTTTTATCCTGATGCTGTTGGTAACTGGAACAGCTTTCGAAAATTTACAGATTTCATCGATCATCTATCTACACGATCTTGTTTCGCAGAATCCGTCAGCTGTACTTTGAGCTTTCTGAGGGTTTGTATTTATTACCAGCACGAGTCTGTTGTCAGGTACTCAGTAAATTAAACAAATGGATAAACATCTAGCGACTGCCTTGCGACCGCTCCGTGTAAACACGCGAAACGACACTTACAGAATGTAATACGCGAGGAATTTAAGACTTATAATCTGTGAAGTTATCCAGTGACTTGGTTTCGACCGCTGGGGGCAAATTCGACCTGAAAACTGGCGAATGCTTTCACTTCAACCACCCATTCCGACACAGCAGACAGGGGATAATTCTCGCGGAAGACGATCCAAGCGCTTTAATACGAACTGTAATCTGGAACATACACTCTCTAAGGCTGGTTAGAAGACGAGAGGTGCCAAGTAACATGAGTAAGAAATTTGTGTGAAAGCGGCACTGGACCGCGGTCACACAGAGCTACAGCAAACACTCCCGAATGTCAGTGTGATGTCGAACCATTAAGGAGCTCCCACCCGTTCCAAGTCTACCAACTCGGGTGTTCATATAGTACACAATACCGATACAGCGGAGCCTGTGGATAACTGAACATATCAGTTGGACGTAGAATACATCTTTCATGGGAGCTGAACCGGTTTCCGTCAGAGCCAGAACAGTAATGATGAATAAGAATTTGGGATTCGAAGACTTGAGGATCTGACTACGTGAATGCACCTGTGAGTTTCATGGCATTTGGGGTTCAACCGAACCGGTCCAACGATCGGGGTGGATGCAAAAATAACACCGGCCTATTTCAGCATTGCGTTATCAGGTGCATACGAATAAACATAGGCACCGTTCGAAATTTCAGATGTACAGTGGAGGCCTAGTTACACGAACCTAAACGAAGCAAACCATGCAAAAGAGCTTCCAGAGAGTCATGAGAAGCAAGTAAGACGTATTGGAATGAATGCCAAACCGGACTGCATACCTTTTTCAAATGGTCCAACACCGTGTATATGGATTGAAATGCATCATCTCGAATGCTTTTCTCAGGGTCCACAGTTAAAAAGGACAAACAAGGAAGAAGTTTGCCGGCAAGTTGATCCGTTTTGTAAAGGTCCTGCGATTCGACAAGGTAGTGTGTATAAACGTTAGCAGAGGCAAAGTGTAGAAGCACATTACAAGTCTGTTGACACAAATCTACAAGAACACAAGAACGTGAACATTTTCGAAGGTGTTTCCTATATGTGACAATCGAAAGTAAAAGCAAACACATCCGTGCCTGATGCTCTCACACGCAGTCGGTAATGCCACGTGTGGGTCGCGCGGAGCTGTCCCCAGTGTAAACCCACGAACTCATCCATAGAACAAACAAGACGGGGATATATCTAAGGCCTTTAGTATGTCTAGCTGATGGCTCATAGCTGTCAACGGTGGAAGATCAAAGCTTCCCAGTAGCCTAAGGCCTTTAGTATGTCTAGCTGATGGCTCATAGCTGTCAACGGTGGAAGATCAAAGCTTATGTCCCAGTAGCCCGTACCAATTCTAAGATGAGCCCGTACCGCACGAACATAGCTAGCCAGTGATAGACAAAAATTAGCCTAATCGGCATAACAGCAAAGTCACTTCGAGCACCCAGTCATTTACACATTCATTAATGAAACGAAGATGCAGCGGAATACAAACATAATAGGACATACTAAAATACGGATAAGATATTTACAGGCCAAACGTATGGAGAAGAAGAGGCAACTCAACCCAAGGCCTTACCAGGGCCAACTCCATGAGACTTCTGTCGGTTTGAGCAGCGGCACATCTCCGAAGAGTGATGGGGGTCCTCTACAACCGACACACACAAACATACGCGACCATTATCACAAAGAAGACATTCGCGCTGCTCGTTCTTGACCACATGATACACTTGTTCCCGCTTTTAATTGCTTCCGGAACACTTAATGACCTGTAGTTCGTTTTGTGTTTGATTAAACAACGATTGTACGCACGAATACATTTGTACTCTCGCACGTAATTCTCTGAATTAGTACTCACCTCTGAATTATTTTATTATCCCGTCTCCTGGAATTTGTATGTATGCAAAAGAGCTTCCAGAGAGTCATGAGAAGCAAGTAAGACGTATTGGAATGAATGCCAAACCGGACTGCATACCTTTTTCAAATGGTCCAACACCGTGTATATGGATTGAAATGCATCATCTCGAATGCTTTTCTCAGGGTCCACAGTTAAAAAGGACAAACAAGGAAGAAGTTTGCCGGCAAGTTGATCCGTTTTGTAAAGGTCCTGCGATTCGACAAGGTAGTGTGTATAAACGTTAGCAGAGGCAAAGTGTAGAAGCACATTACAAGTCTGTTGACACAAATCTACAAGAACACAAGAACGTGAACATTTTCGAAGGTGTTTCCTATATGTGACAATCGAAAGTAAAAGCAAACACATCCGTGCCTGATGCTCTCACACGCAGTCGGTAATGCCACGTGTGGGTCGCGCGGAGCTGTCCCCAGTGTAAACCCACGAACTCATCCATAGAGTGAACAAGACGGGGATATATCTAAGGCCTTTAGTATGTCTAGCTGATGGCTCATAGCTGTCAACGGTGGAAGATCAAAGCTTATGTCCCAGTAGCCCGTACCAATTCTAAGATGAGCCCGTACCGCACGAACATAGCTAGCCAGTGATAGACAAAAATTAGCCTAATCGGCATAACAGCAAAGTCACTTCGAGCACCCAGTCATTTACACATTCATTAATGAAACGAAGATGCAGCGGAATACAAACATAATAGGACATACTAAAATACGGATAAGATATTTACAGGCCAAACGTATGGAGAAGAAGAGGCAACTCAACCCAAGGCCTTACCAGGGCCAACTCCATGAGACTTCTGTCGGTTTGAGCAGCGGCACATCTCCGAAGAGTGATGGGGGTCCTCTACAACCGACACACACAAACATACGCGACCATTATCACAAAGAAGACATTCGCGCTGCTCGTTCTTGACCACATGATACACTTGTTCCCGCTTTTAATTGCTTCCGGAACACTTAATGACCTGTAGTTCGTTTTGTGTTTGATTAAACAACGATTGTACGCACGAATACATTTGTACTCTCGCACGTAATTCTCTGAATTAGTACTCACCTCTGAATTATTTTATTATCCCGTCTCCTGGAATTTGTATGTATAGCACCCAGCCGAGCTGCGCACATTCTAAATCTGATTGCTGCTAAGTTCCGTATCTGAACACTTGCGGACAGGTATTGAGCCCCCCTCCACATTTAAAGAGCAGCCAGCAGGTATTCATAAGGGATATCACCGATAACATGACAATCAGAAAGTATGACGATTGACCAAGCTGGGGATATGCTGGTCCCGTATCAAACTGACTGTAAAGATTTTTCCAAAAGGTTGTCCAACACATCCGCAATGTCCATTCACAACATCCATTGTCGCCACTGCTTACACTTTCTATTTCAAAAACGCAATGCACTGAAAGTGTTCTGAGTGGCACTGCCTAATTTGAGGTTTGTTAAAAAGGAGAGGGAACTTAGTTGCTCCTTTAGAAACCTGATTTCACAGCTAGTGAGTACTAGCGAAAAATCCCGTGAATATGCCAATTTACTGAGATCGCAAGTCGACTACTCACCAGCTCTCAGTAGGCTAGACTGAAAGCGAA